CCATTTAAATTTAAATGAAGCCGCGATTATTTAAATCATGGCTTCATTTCCCTTTGCCGATCAGCCTAATCTACATGGCTCCATCGATGGAGCCATGTAGTTTAGACACAGCCTGAGTGTAGTGGGAAGGCAAATCTGATCCCTGTGCTTCTTGGGATTCCCTCCTAGCTCTGTGACCTCTCCATACTGAGGAATGTTAAAGCAGCATGGCCATCTCTCCAGCCCTCCCCCCATAGCAGCAGGCCGCCTGCCGCTGTGTGCCTAGTGCAGGGCAGAACAGGAGCATTCCAATGATTTGTTCTTTGTTTGTTCCCCAAATGGAGCAGCTCACTCAGCTGTCAGATACTTCCCGAAGCTTTGAAGGGGGAGAGGCACATGCTTTCAAGGCAGCAGAGATTATAAAACACTGAGCAGAGCCATCAGGGCTGGCATTATGGGATACTGGCAGAAGCCAGTTCTCTAGACAAAACAAACAGCAGAGTCCACACTGGCTCTTTGTTGACAATAAAGGAAGGCGAAGAGACAAAAGAATCTCTCAGGGATAGAAGTTTTTTGTCACCAAAAATGGGTGTTTTTCAGGACAAAAGTCACATTGCCATGTAAACGCTCTCACTATTTATTACCAGATGGCAGTTCTTGGTGACAAAATGTGCCGGTGTAGATAGGGCAGTGAAGCCGCATGATGAGGAACACCACAGTTATCGAATGACCACTGTTCCTCCTCCTCTCTAGGAGACACAATGGGGAAAATACCTTCAGATGCCTCCCTGTGGTCTGGAATGTGCCAGAAATAGAATGATATCTCAAGGAAGGGCAGGCAGCTACACCCCACATGAACACAGTTCTCTTTGCTGAAACCACTAGCTCAGAAAGTTCAGAAGACTCTGTGTTTCAAGGGGGTAAACAGTGCTGCTGCTTAAAGGAGGAGGCCAAAAAGCATGGCTACCAAGCAGTTTTTTCTTCAGTGAAGCTCTCTGCATTGGGAAGGGGATGCGTGAGAAGCAAGGGGTGAGGCGAGCTGGCTTAAAGTCAAACTGCAGTCTACAAAACAAATTAATCTCCCCTTTGAAGTAACGCACGCTGTCGTATTTTGATCAATTTTAAGCAACTGCAAGGTGCTGCAAAACATGGTAATGCTATCAGGCTGTCTTTGAAATGGGAGCAGGGGAAATACTACTCATTTCACAGTCATTCAATTTGGTATCCTCCCATGAGGGCAAAAGATATTCTATAGCTTAACAGAACCAGCAGTCGTAGGTTAAATGCTTAATCTTTCAGTACAGAATTAATGTACACACTATAATGACATTGAGAATTTGTGGTTCTTGATTGGCTAGTAACAGGTCACTTGACTGTGACCACTTCATCCAATCAGGGAGTTAATCGGCTTTGTGTGTGACATTAACATATGTACCACAAAGAGTCTACCAATTAGCTGGTTAGACAAAGGGATGCAATGAGGTGTGTGTTGTAAAATGGTAACACCCAGCCTCAGGGGTATAAGGATAAAATACTCAGCTTTGCCTCTTGCCTTCAGGCACTGTAAGAAATGGACAGATATAGATTCTATCCATCAGCTCATCATTGCCACAAAGAATTGTTCTTATTCGTTAAAAGAATCGTACTGTGCCTGTTCAAAAAAGGGGCCCCTGTCTTAGAAATGAACATTTGCCAGCAGGGCCTTCAGAGGAGGTACCTAGCACCAGCCGTAGATCACCATCTCCTTCCAGCAGGGACTTCCATTGGGTTGTTTGAGTCACAGGACTCTGGCAAAATGGGTCTCATGCCATCTCTGTCAGATGGAACAACCATTAGTCTTAAGGACTGGTTCCACTGTAGCTACAAACCTACCACCCAGGCCTGCAGGGACTATCCCTAGTGTAAGATGCACAGGCAGAATTGAGACTACCAAGAAGACTATTGCAGTGGGTGGCAATAGAAGGGTGAGTAGGCAGTGTGTGGCTAGGGTGTCATATGCACTGGCAATTGTTTGTGAGGAGGAGTAACGTTAGTTTGAACCAAGGGGTTTGGTTCGAACTAACGCGTCCCAGTGCGCACTTCCTGGTTCGAATCAGCTGTTGAACAGAGTAATGTGCCGGCGAGATCATGCTAATGAAGCGCGGGATATTTAAATCCCTGCTTTATTAGCAATTTCGGTTGCCTATATTTGCATCCCTAGCTCGAACTAGGGAGCAAGTGTAGACGTACCCTAACAGACTGCTGCAGCAGGACTGGTTAGAACAGAGGAAAGGAAACCAGGAGATGTGGGTTCTGTTCCAAACTGCTGCTAATGCAATGTGTGAGCTCAGGCAAGTCGTTCATCTTCATGGCTTTGTTTCCACACCTGTAAAATAAAGATACTAGAAGGCACTTTAAGATCCTCAGATGGAAAGGGTTACGTGCAGTAAATGCAAAGATTTACTGTGGTTGTTAATATTATCCAAGCCATGAGTGTTCATGCCACAATCCAAGCATCTGAAATGAATCCCCAAGCAATATCAAGTCTTTCACTTGGGTATTTCTGATCCTTGGGTGGAATTAACAAAAGATCTTCTAAAAGAGAACAGATAAACAACCATGGAATTCATTAGGCTGCAATTCCGAGTGAAGGACATAACTCTTAAAGCCTGCCAAGGCTGGAAGGTGAACTGGATAACTCTTGTGCAAACCCAGTGGCTGTGTCTACACTGGGCCACTTATTCCAGAAAATCAGCCACTTTTCCGGAATAAGCTGCGAGCTGTGTATACTGTGTCTACACTGGGCCACTTATTCCGGAAAATCAGCCTCTTTTCCGGAATAAGCTGCGAGCTGTCTACACTGGCCCTTGAATTTCCGGAAAAGCAACGACGCTCTACTGTACAAAATCAGCCGCTATTCCGGAAAAACTATTCTGCTCCCGCTCGGGCATAAGTCCTTATTCCGGAACACTGTTCCGGAAAAGGGCCAGTGTAGACAGCCCAGTAGTCTTTTCCAGAAAAAAGCCCCGATCGCGAAAATGACGATCAGGGCTCTTTTCCGAAAAAGCAGCCTGCCAATGTAGATGCTCTTTTTCTGGAAATACTTATAACGAAAACTATTCTGTTTTAAGCATTTCCGGAAGTTCATGCCAGTGTAGACACAGCCAGTATGTGTTTCAGGTTGGCAACAAAGCATGAAATCCTGAGAAGTGAATTGCAGCCATTAGGACTGCAAGATTGGATTCCTTGATTTGGTCAGACTGATGGGAAAGTGATGGCAGATGGGAAGGGACGTGGAGCTTTGGACAGAAGCAGATGTGCACGTGTGTGCAGATGCACACACCTCTTTACCTCTGCAAAGGTGTTATCCATCCTCTAGGTATTAGTGCTTTTGGAAAACTGCTGTGGAACAAGAGAGAAATGCAGTCTTTTTATACAATTTTGAACCATCCTATCGGGGCCATAGAATTGTATATCTCTTCAGTAGAAATCTATAATATTGCTCAAAATGTCCATAGAGAGTAACTCATGGTCTTACATTCTAGGTACAGATTTTAAAGATTAATACCTATCAGT